TGAGACAGGATGCACAAAATGTGACTTCAAAGCTGATTTTGGCTTGTGGCATAGCGGATCAGCCTGCAGCTTTAAGGCCTTTTCCCGTGACAGGCTGACGTGCACCTGCACTGGCTGGAGGACGCAGGAGTTCTTGGAAAGAAGATGGAAACGGGACCCTGAGGTTGTCCTTGCACAACTTGCTGCCCCAGGGCTGCCCTTCTCCTTGGACTGGCCTCGGCCTGGCTGGCCCCTGCGTCCCGGAGGAGCTGTACAATGACTTGGTGTAAGGAACATTATCTGTATGTCCATGAATGTCATGCTCTGGTCCTTACGTATTCCAGGACGGAATTCCAGCTTTTTGCACCTTTCCTCGCTTCCAAATACCTGTCCACGCAAAACTAGCAGACCAAAATGCCATTAAGAAGTGGGAGGCAGGAGTGGCAATGTTCCTTCGCCTTTTAATGCCTGCTTGAGTTCCCTTTTCCCCTCGTAGATCAAAGCTGCGTGTCAGAAGGTGCGTTGCTGGAGTCTTCCCTATTGGTAACAGGAACTGCATTGAAATTTGGGCTTTAACAAGGAGCCGTGTGTCTTTAAAGTGATGGCTACAGTGTCACAGCTTAGTGTAGGAGCGGTCCCCCTTTGGAAATCGTTCTGCAGATGGGGCCAGCGGCAAGCACAACGACATGCAGTCGGTGTGTCACCGCTCCCAGGGAACTTCAGAAGTTGAAAGAAGAAAGCAGAACTGTTTATCCACGGCAGCAAACGCGGTCCTCAATGGACTCGGAAAATATGCACCTGACCTTTGGTGAGACTATCGTATTCTCCACAGAGAGCTTTTCTGTGTAAACACCTTTGTGGCGCAGGATCAAAGTAAATAACAGCGATGACAGGCTGCAGCCTACGATGCTGGGCTGCCTCCTGCTCAAGGAGACTACTGTCACACAGTGCCCGGTCCCGCATCTGAGCAGAACAGGGCAAAGCTGGGCGTCTTCCAGAAGTGCAAGATTTGTGCATCACGCCAGCTGCACGTGTGCATCCTGGGCTGCAAGACCCCTTACCTTATATAAACTGTATCATGTACGTTCATTGCTAGTCTTGGTAAATCTTGTCCTTGGTATTTGAGATTAGCACTGGGGTTCTTCACACTGTTCCCTGTCTCCTGGGGAGGACTCAGCCCCCTTCCTGCCCCCTGGCTTGTGGCAGACCCCTACACCCTCCTGTGAGTTGTCAGGCTGTGACATGACCCTGCCCTTTCTAAGCAAACTTAAAAGGTTTAGAAAAAATCCACAGTAGCAGGCTGCACAGAAATGGTGGACTGTGCGTCTAGGGCAACTTTGTAGCTCCTTGATGCCTCGCTAGACAAGATCTGCTCAGTTGCACAAGTGAGAGATTCCGTTTCCTTCTCTTGCTCGTAGTGAGAAAACAGCAATAATAACCTAAGGAAGAAACCCGCTTGCCGCATTCTGTTCTTCAGCGTCTCTGCACCTTGCTGGGATTTTCTATTATCACTGAGTCAGTAACAGATTTATAGCCTGTGAGTATGATTAATTTCCATTTTGCACCTTGCTATGATCTCAAAGCAAACCATCCCTGACTGGGATTCTTGATTACCATGAGCTTGAAAGCAAGCAAGAAAAACTTTGAGCTCAGAGCAAAATTTCCGGGTGGCTTTCTGATGTGGTTTCACAGTGAACGTCCCGGGCAGGAAAAACAAGATTTAGCACCTTTCCCTTACGCAGGCCACCAACCTGCAGTGGTTTTCCGATGTTTGGGGTTATGTTAATGGACCATGCAGATAGTCTTGGGTGTATTCTTTTCATTTATTTTGCTCCTTCAGCAAAGGCATACAATACCAATTTAAACACTTTTACTGCTGTGATGGAGGAGGGAAATATCCGCTTCTAAAGCTTAGAGGGCTATTAGCCTTATTAGTTGCAAGGCTTGATAGGCTTATACTCAAGCTTTGCAGTGTGTTTGATGTGTTTTTCCAACAGACAGAGAATACCAAACCAAAGCAGAAAAGAGATGCAATACAGTAATATTCCTTTAATAATTCAAGCAAGAGAGAAGACAGGCTTGTCATTGGGCTTTGCAGGGAAGTAGAAGATGTTGTTGCTGATTTAAACTCACAAAATACAAATTTTGTGGATGCTGGAAATTTTTATTATCATTATTAATGATTCATATTACAAGTGATAACTGCCAGTGAACCTCACCTGAGATCGAGGCCACCTGAGCCAGACAGAATAAAAGACAGAAATGTCAATTCACACTTGCAATGCTAAACCTGTTTCATCTAAACCTGAAGTGGGAATGTCTGGAATGTATCTAAATCGCCATATACACTTTATGCATGCAAACCACGGTTGTGGTATGTCTAATTGCATCTAGAACACCTAGAAAAAAAGTCTATGCAACCATAGAAGCAAATGCTGGTGTGTTTGAGTCCCCCTTCTGTTGCGACAAAGAGCACCAAACGGTTTCTGTGTTTCCCAGAAGTATACAAATCTAGATTGGTAATGTCTCAATAAATCATACTAGCATCACTGAAATGTGAATCTGCCTCATGGAAGAGCAGTTTGTGATCAAAACTTTTCAGAATGTGGAATTTTCTCTGAGATTTTGCAGGGAAAAAAACCCCATTACTTGCCTTTCCCCCCTGAGAGCGAGAGCCTAAGGACAGTAGTTTGTCTTAGGTGACATTCACGGCTTTTAGGCAAAATCAGAAACTCTAAGCAAGTTAAAGAATTTTGCTGTAGATAAAGTTATCATAAGAAGCCAGATGATAAAAATAATTTTCATAGACTATTTCATCAAACAGGAAGGATAGTTCAGTCATGCATCTGTTTTTGTCCGTGAATAAAAATCTCATGAAACCTGCACAATTTAAATGAGTCCTTCACAGGAAAAAAAGTTATGGTAGCTATTAAAAGGTGAGAGAGAGCCAGACACTACGTAACTGAATCAGTCTCAAAAATAATTCCAAATCCTGAGGAAGTGTTAAAAATAGGTCACGTTGTGAGCATTTATAATATGAGCATGAATGAAATACAGATAAACCCTCAGATTAACTATAGATTTCTTCCTGGTATTCAGACGAGGTGCTATTGATTTTGCAAAGTGTTTGGGAGACTCGCTGTCACGCGAGTCTCTCCCTTTCCCACCCGCTGTACGAAGCACCCTAACAAGCGTGTTTGCCAGTTTTGCTGTGAATGTGACCAAAGCCAATGGGGGAGCAGAGCTTGCTCGGCGTAGCCAGCATGGGAGGTAGGGGCGGGCAGCTGAGCTGCGGGCCAGAGACAGGGCTGTGGGCAGAGATGTAGGTATGCCCCGACTCCTTGATATCTCCAGTGAACTGCTCTGCTATGCCGCTTGCTTGGCCTCTGCAGCCTGCCACAACACTTTTCATGGGGGTGCAATGAAAGTAGGAGTAAGAGGTGCTGACTAGGGATGAAGAAAAGTCACCAGGCACTCATGCGATTTGCAATTTAATAAAAAAGCCAGTCAAGAATGTACCAAAGATTACCCAGAGAGTGTGCGGTACAGCTCCGCGTTGAACCTGCGTATCCTGAACGCCAGTCACGAGGCTGTTCTCGTCCCTCGTCTTCCACAAAGAAAGTTCTGTTGAAGGTTAATTTTGTATTAAAATTGAGTTAACTAAAGGCAGATACAATGGAAACCGATGCTCAGCGTTGCTCGAGCAGAATCCAGCCCAAAGTGCTTTCCATTGTACCAGAAACATCGAGCTAATCCGCTTATCTGCTGGAGTCGGAGGTAGTGTGTGTGTCGGGACGGGATGTTCAATTCCAGTGAAAGGATTTTCGCTCTGAATAGGAGGACACATGCTGAATATGCAAATAGCCTAGTGTTCTCTTGACAGTTTTTATAAATCGATTGCTTACTATGGTGTTCAAATCGGGCTAACTTCAACTTACATTTCTATAGCTCTGTTAGTCCTGAAGGCTCCTAAAGTACTTCAGCAGCAATGGCAACCATGTCCTTTTTTAAAGTAATTTAAGAATCGCTGGATTATATCAAACACCGACATGACCAGTACCACCTTGTACAGCGATGAAGTGGGAAAAAAAACATTCAACCACAATCTCGGATCAAATTAGGACTTTTTCTCTAAAAGTGTTAAAGGATCTTAAATGCCACTGTAATTCTTCAGACCTTATCTAAAGACCTCGTGGCTTTGAACTTCCTGGAATTAATTGCATCTGCATTAGGAGATTGAATGTTCCAGTCAAAGTTGCCATAATTTATAGCAGCTCCGGTCTCCTCCAAGACTCGCACAGCGTTTCCTTCTGGAGCCCTGGTATGTTGATTTTTCAGTGTAAACACTGGAGGAAATGCAACGTTCGAGGCTGCTGAGTCACCAGCGCGCATGTCCCTAGCACTGGGTTAATGTTTAGGGAAAAAAAACCCTGAACGTTTTCATTCTAAGGGAAAAATGGACTTTAATTCCCCCCGTTGCCGGGAGGTCCCGGCAGGCGGCAAGACGCCGAGCAAGAGCTGGCCGCGCGTCCTGGCAGCTATGTAATGTACTATGTATCATAGCTGCTCTCATGATAATCACGTTCTTTGAGGAACTTTCTACTTTATTTGTACTTTGCCTGTGTTTCCCTTGCAGCCGGGCTTTATAGGGTGCTAATATGATATATTGTAAGTGGTAAAATTCTTGAAATGTGTTTTTGGACTCTTTAGCCCTTTGACCGTGTTTGCTCAGATGATATAGACTTAACAGTAAACCCACTTGAAAGACATTTTAATGGGACACTTTAAATGAAATCAATTGGTGGTTTCATAATGGCAGCTGAATGCGCGTTCTTGCCATTTTCCCATTTAACAAGAATAAAAGGCCAAACGAGGACCAATTAGTCATAATGAAATCAGCTTTGATGACATTTTCACTCCTGAACTCTGGTATAAAATGGTCATCTAAGAAAGAACTGAAAGGATATGTGAAGAGTTTGGTAGTATAACTGCATATGCATTCACACACTCCTGAGCGAAAAATGATCGGGTAAAGATGCTGCAATGCACTTTGTGTATGGAGAAAAGATACTGTCTGTCTGCTTATGTATATACATATAGCTTTGCTTCATTTTGTTTTAAATGTGAACTGATTTCTGTTTTTCCTTGAAGTCTGTGCAGGTTAAACCTTGTTTTTGTTCTCTGGGTCGCAACAACGTTCATGTGCTCGGGTTACCCAGTTGTCCCTTCCGTGGTAAGTCGTACTCCCTGCTTACTTAAAGGGCAGATACTTCATTTCTCTTACCGTGCTATTTTATTTAAATTATTGTTTTTCATTACTCATAAACTTCTTGTATGAGAGCTGTGGGATGAGTGTTACTATCTAATTTTCCTGGAATATAGCTCCTTTTATGCTTTAGTTAGTAATAAAATAGGCGAGCTTCTGAAATAAGAATGTGAGAAACCTATGGAATATTTCATTTAGAGCATGGGGAGCTTTTACCGAAGTTGAAGTATTCTGTGGAAAAGAGAAGAACAGCAGTCTCCTCTCCGTTTCAACTCTATTCCTTGTCTATATTAAATAGGTGCAATAATCTAGGTATGTTTGTGTTATTAATTTGTTGCTAGCTAGTTTGTGTACTGCAACTGCTAAATGTATTAACCATTTTTATTATGTGGGTAGGTGGAGGTGAAAAGCCGTTGTTTTCTTATATAGAAGTTATGAAAAATTGTTCCCTAGGGTCAGTGATATGAATTTGATTGAACTGTGGCAGAAAGTTGATCAGTCTGTAAAGCGGAAGTAACTCGGTTATTTAAAGTAAAGAATACTCATATTCTTCCAGTGTCTGATCTTGAGCAAATTACTGTGACAGACGGTTGGTCAAGCGATATGTACCACTTCAGACCTTGCAAATGTATTCCGGAGTAAGATGCCTCATGTCAAACGGCGTTCAGTTTCCCCGCTTTGGGCAAAGTTTTACACTTTTTGAGCAGTTTTACACTGCGCTGTTGTAGGGCCGCCAGAGCACCGCTCACAACCGCGGTTTAGCCTTCTGCGGGAAGCTCCTGGCAGCCTTTCTCGGGCGCTCTCCGCTTCCCTGCGCCTGGCTCCCCTGTGCAAATGTCGAATGAGCTTTCATTTCAGGTCAGCGTTTAGTAAAAGTATTAATAAAAGCAGCGGCATGCTGAATTGCAACTAATCTTAGCGAAGCGTAGGCTGTGTTTCTCTTAAACCCATCAGCAGCGAGCTTGTAACTCACGGTGGGATGAAAGGTGCTCTTAACAGCTTATAGACAACAACTTATAGACATGGCAGGAAACGTTTTAGTTTAAATGCAATGTTAATTTAAATGCAATTTGAATTTGTGCAAGTTTTTATGTAGTTTATGCATCTCTATAATGTACAGTGCAGGTAATAGGAGCATAAACACAAAACTATCTGGATTTTACTCCAGACTCCTTCAATGCCATTGCTATTTTGTCATTATTAAATTTAGTCATAACTACTACAATAACTACTCATAACTACTAGAAATCCATTTTCTGTTATCTGTCATTTAAACGGAATGATTTCACACGAGTGCTAACCAGGTGCTGCTACGTTGTTAACTGAAAAAATGTCATTTTACAGCAGTAAACATGCACATAGGTCTAGGGGACCTGTGTCACGTGTCACAACAAGTTAACGTCATGGAAAACAGTTCATAAGCATAATGATAACAAGATCTGTGTTTTATATCACAAATGCAGCAGTTGTTACATTTTCTGTAAAGCTATGAAAAAAATCTGTTTTTGAGTACAATGAATCCTTAGCAAATAATAGTTTGTCCTTGTCATTCTAGGCATGAATTGTTTTTGTGTTTCTGCTTTGCTTTTTATACTGAACAAGTCCTGACAAATGCATGAAATCATGATTTTATTTATTTATTTTTATCTTCAGAGCAGTAATCCTTTTTATTTGAATTGCCAGCTGTATGGGAAATCTGATTACTGTCTCATCCTGCTGGATAGCTGCTTAGCCAAGGTGGACAGGAAGGAAGAACTGGCCTTTTTGAAGCCTTACCTGGAGCTACCTTTCAATAAAAGGTCCTTTCGCAATGGTGTTGGATCAGGAATTAAAAAAACTTCGTTTCGAAGAGCAAAGTCATAAATAAGTGTTCGAAACCATACTCTCGGTTTTAGCACCTGATGTTTAACTGTGTGCTTAAAGTCATTTCCAATGCTTTTTTATGACAAAGCCAGCAGAGACAAACGTGTCAGTGTCTTCATCCTGTAACCAGATGTTCATTGCCAAGACCACGAGCCAAGCGAAGCAGCTGGAAATGCTCGGAACGGGCTTTGTTTCCCGAGTTACGCTATCGGAAAGCTGCGTATCGGAGGGAGCGTTCTCTTTTGCTTACTTCCCTTTCTCTGTAAAGCTGCAGATTCAATCAGCTCGCTCTGGATTAGCGCAGAGCTAGCCCTGTGCTTTGAATAGCCGCGTGCGCGCAGCCCGTCGCGGGGACTGCCGGCGTTGCTGCTCGCAGACGCTCCTCTCTGCCGGCGAAGCACCGCGAGGCACGCTTGCGCTTCCCTGAGCCCCGGCTACGTCAGGACAACTTATACACTGCTGTAAAGCGCATACAGTTTTAGCTTTCCAAAAAGAGATGAGGGGCCTCTGGCAAAAAGCAGAATAGGCCCTTGCTTGTTAAGTTCTAGCTTCTTTTTAATATGGTTATTTAAAATGGCTTTACCGGGAAGCAAGCTCTTGGGATGTGTCATCTCATTTTCAGGAGAGTCCTGGGAGATCTTTCCAAGGCAGTGTACCAGCGCGGTTCCCTTTGCTGCTGACGATTGACTTGTGTAGGCAACGCACATCTGATGAAAGGTGCCCAATGCAGTTTCTGCCTGTCTGCTGCAGTCATGGTGGTACAATAATAAGCAGTGCTCTTTTTTTTATTATTTTTTAAAGGAAAAAATAATAAAAAAAGCATTGGGTCATCTGAAAACATGTAAATCTTTTCTGTAGGAAAGGTCATGCACTGCAATATGTTTGTGTGATTTTGCCCTGTGGCCGTTTCCTCCAAATGCAGTGTAACAAGCTGTAAACGTTGGGCTGAAAATGTTGCAAAGTGTCCATGCGATGCGTTTTGAATTCAAAGCTAAAACAATAATAAATCAGTATATGGAGCCTTTCTAGTATTTCCCTATTCAGTATCATGATGCAGGAGATCTTGTTCCTGAGCTGAGGCTAAGGCCAGGTGATGCCTTCACCGGTGTGGGGATGTGCTGCGGACGGTGCGTGCTTGCTTTGCGTGTGCTCCACAGCAGCAGCCGCGTTCCTGCATTTTGCACCACTGAGCCCATGGGGAAAAATGGCTTGAGCACAGAGCTGGGTTTCTGGGCTGCGCTGGCTCATTGCTGGCTGATACAAGCAGATCCAACATGCTCCTGTCTGCGTATGTCCAAGCTGACCTGTCTAAAGCATCACGTTTTTTAAAACTGCTTAGACACCTACACTCCTTTTGGGTACTCTTGGCATCTAGGTTGCTTAGCTCTTGCAGGTCCTACTCAAGTGACACCTAGAAACCTTTAAAAATTTAGACCTTTAAAAATCTCTAAGGAAAATGCTGGATAATTATTATTCTTATGCAGTTTAACTTCTGTAATTTCTAGACAAAAGGAAACCCTGGCCGGGAAAGGCTGTGGCACTAAGTAGTTTCACTACAGGAGGGAGTTTGTCCTCTTTCATTCTCGGCTACTGTGATTTCAGACGTAGTAAATGTCCTGCAGATGCAGTTTTCCCACCCAGGAAGACTCCATCTCTGTCCGGATCTGTCCGAGAAGCAATGTTTTAACATCTTGGGAAACGTAAAAATTAAAGAGGTGGGTATGACTGCTGGCCTGTGGGTAGGTAAGTGCTGCGCGGAGGCACCACCCCATGACGCACCGGTGCAGAGTGCAGGGTCGTGCTTTTCCTCCCGGTGCGTAAGAGCCGAAGAAGTCACTCGGGTTGGGTTGAGCCCTTGCGCAGGTGTAACCGGTGCACGTTGCGTTGGCGCGTCTCTCTGTATTTAGTGCCACGGTGGTGTTTTGCCACCGTGCAGCCACCCGGGGCGGTTGCGACCCACCCTCACACTATGCCACGACCTGAGTTATTTTTCAGAAAACAAGCAAATCCATATTTATCTTTCTCTTTGGACTTTCACCCCCCCCACCCCATTTCAGTTAACTTTTTTCTACACAATCAATCATCAGCTGCGTTTCTGCCTTGGTAACCTATGATAAACAAGACTGTCTGTAAGCCAACAAAACTATACACAAAGCTTTAAAAATTGCCCTCTTTCTCTCATTTATTGTGTAGGTACATGACCAAATCTTGCAGTGTTTTGTCAAGTGTCTTGCAGCAGAGTACATTCAGGAAGGGTGGTGAGCCTGTATCCTGCCTGCACAGAGCTTCAGCCCTTTTCAAAAATCTGGGCTGCAAGGAAAATATCTTATTGGCTACATGAAAAAGCCCATTATTTATGGTTTAGTCGTTTGCTGGCAAACCAGCCCACCTTGAGAGGTCTGCATATATGAAAAAAGATTGGGCTAGGAGGCAACCAAGAGCTGTAAGTCTTGTGCTCACCTAAATCACAGAGAGCAAGCCAGTACAATGTGGATTATCTGGCTGAATTACAGAAGCGGTTCGGGCATCAGGGGTCTGATCTTGCCACCGCCACACACTGAAAACTCACGCGGCTGATGCTGCCTTTCATACAACATGCAAGCGCTTTCTTAACCTGAAAGGTGGCTTTATTTTGGAAAGAACGAATGATCACCTGAGTGATCTCTGTGAGGAAGTAAGGATCTGCGGGTGCCGTTGCTGAGCACATTAATTTTTATGCTGATAGAAATGGGAAACATAACACAGGACTTCTTTTTCAGTGTAAAAAGGAAAATACAAAAGGCTATAGAAATGCGAACTCACAGCATAATTAATATGCTGCAATAAATTCCTTTCTGGAGAGTAGAGATCCGTTGTGCTGTGAAAAGGCATTTTGTTGTCTTTCTTTGCTATTTTTCTTAGCTAAACTAAGAGAAAGAGGAAGGATAAGCAGGTTTAGAGGGCAGAAAGAGAAATTTTTGTCTAGGGGCTCAGGAACAAGTCCGGAAGCCGGGGATGCCCAAATCGAGCTCGGCTATTGATAGTCATTCAGTCTGTGACCTTAGGTGAGTTACTTAATTTCTACTCAATTTCCTCAGCTGGAAAACATGAAACTATGTTGATCAAGCCTTCTCACATAGGCAATGTCCCAAGTGATTGCTTTGGGAATTTTTTTGAAGATAACACGAGTTGTGTAGGTATTGAGCAGAAGGGTGGTCTCCTCCGAAGATAATACAGCATAAAGGCATTAGAAAAGCGAGTCCTGCTCCCGGTTCTGCCTAACTTCTGGTGTCACCAACAGCACCTCGCCCTCGATTCGCCTGGGCTGAGAAAAACGTGGCCATTACACCTGCCACCCTCCAAGCGCCAGCGCTGCGGTTTATTCAGCCTTGAGAGAGGGATGTTATTACTCTCTTCTTTTTTGATCGAGTGCCCTTTGATAAAGCCCGTTAATACACATTTATTAGGATATGCAGAATCCCTGAGTTAATAGGGATTTTTATGCTACTTTGCAATTATATCCACGTTTGGACACTTTGGACATGCAGTGTCCACTTGCAAATAGGTCCCTGGGTTTGGGCTATGGCCGCCACCTTCGAGCACAGCAGTCACTGTAAGTATTTTTAGCAGATGGTGAGAGAGACACCTCAGTAGCCAGATTTTGGCTGTCTCATACCCGGTCCCCAGGAGCGTCTTTCCCCGGTTCCCTCCAGTCCCCTCCGACCTCCCACCGTGCTCTGCGGTCTTCGTCCCGGGCCGGCGTGGGAGAGCGGCTGAAGGCACATCGTGGATGCGTTTGTCCCCTCTTGGTGCCCTCTCGTTCTCGCCATGCCTGGATTATTATTCACGGATTCGCTACGTTTGTATTGTGATTGCACACAAGTACCGCAAAGAAGTCCCATGGGGGTCTACGGGTTTCGCAAACTACAATTAGTTACTCCTCTTCAGAGGTTAAATTGCAAGCACAGCGAGTGCATCTAATTTTTTAAGGTGTCTTCTGTGGGCACCGTCTGGGTGCAGAGGAGGGAAGCAGGGGCCCACCGGTAACTCCAGGTGCATGTGCCGGCTGTCGGGCAGCTGGCACGAGGCACAAAAACTCGTCTGCAAATCCTTGCATCAGGCTGTGGCACAAAATCTGTGCCCGGTTCCTCGGCCCCACTTCCAAATAAATTGCTGCGGGAGAGTCGCTCCCCAGCAGCCCTTCCCAGCCCCGCTGCGAGCCGGGGCCGCTGCGGCCGTAGTGCCACCCTCTTCGTCCCCGGCGGTGACCCCAGGATCCTGCAGAGAGCCAAGGAAGTTATTGCACTCTGCTGCTGCTCCTGCGCTCCTTGGGAGTGAGCTGTGCCCTCGAACAAGGCAGCTAAGGCTCAGCGCTGAAAAGCACAAATCCGATAAAACATGAGCAACTGAAATCTGCCTGAAGACAGGTGGAGGAATTTTCTTCCTTCTTCGCAGATTATTGGCAAGGCAGCAATTAGATAACCTGATGTAATAGCATCTAATTTACTTGCAAGATTGAAAATTGGTTGTTGAAATGAAATACCAATACCTGGTTTTCTGATTACCAAGCGCATATTAAAGAAATTCTTTCTTTCCTGTTTAGATTTCCTAATTTGCTATTATATGCATGTAGGTGGTAATGTGTTCCCTTAAACTACTGAAAGGAAGATAGGAAGAAGTCTCTTGCCACTTTTAGCTGTGGATATAATTTTGACCTTAAGAAAGAACAAGGCAGATATGAAAGAGTATATTAGATGTTATTATTACTGTAATAAAATACAGATAAAAATCATAGCGCAGAAAGAATCTAAGACAATTATTAAGCATTTGTCATATAAAGAAAATCAAAATTGAACTTATCAGATATTCTGCCACTTAAAAGATTCATCATGAAAAAATACTTCTAATAGTGAAGCATCTACGCAATATGTCATTGATGAGCTGTCTGCTTAAACGTTTAAAGAGTTTGGAGAAAGATGAAAGAAATGTCGAGATGATACACTTTTTATTAGTCTGACAGA